TACGTTATTCACGTAGCTGAAGTTGCGTACCTTAGTTCGAATTAGGGGGGGTAGTGTAGACCAAGCCTTACAGTGAGAGGTGGTATATTCTGGAGTAAATCACAGGCAGTCTGGATTTATGAAGCAATTTAGACTCCTAGAAAGTGCTACAAGGGGACTTTGCTATTTACTAAAGCAGTAGACTCCATCTTCACCTCCTTGGTCAGAAGGCTGTTGGATGAGTATAAAAGCAAACAGATAAGCCCAGAGGGCTCCAATATAAATACAAAAGAAGGTATGTTATTTTTTACCACAACACTCAGAATATTTTTAGTTTGTTTACTGTGTCTGACTATCCAACATGTGAAAACCGATCACTAACAGTTTACTGCGAACTTTATGCTTAAATTATTTATCAACATTAGCTACAACAAACAAGGCAGTATGGCAAGCTATACAGCAAACTAGGTACACCTATTTGGCACAGAAATACAGATCTACTGTATAAACTTGAATCAGTAAGTCTCAAAATAAAAAAGACACTGTCACATTTTTAATAGTTTATTAACACTTTATGCTTTGTAATACCCTTAAAACCTTTATAATAAGTTTTGCTTACCGATGTTATCCTTTCCCATTTGGCAAAGGCCTTTTGCCCCCTGAGAGACACTAACAGAGCTCAAGCTAGTGTTTTGTTGGTTTATTTCCTGTATGCACATCCGCTTCAATCATAGCAGGAACATGCAAGACTGACTGACAGCGCTTGTCAACTGCTTTTAGAGAAGCAGTAGGAATGCATAAAAAGATTGCACATTGGTGCAGGTTGCAGAGTTTTTTTTAAATGTGCTCAATAAAGTGGTAGACTAATTTATTTACTATAGTAATTTTGAAGTAGGTTAAATTTGGGAACTAAATTACTACAGAAATGCATTAAAAGACAATGAAGTATTTTCTATTTAACTGAATTTCTGAAGTGTTATACATTTTTTAAAGTGCTATATCCATAAAAAAATTAACATACTGTACTATGTATTTGGGATCAAGAGGTTTTTGTTAACATCTTGCCCTAGCGGGCAAGCAAAAATGCAATCTGTGGTCTCCATTAAACTAAAAAAAGTTGGGGAAATTGTGCATTTAACTTCATACATGACTTTATGGCCTTTATCATTTAACCGTACTCTCACTATTAGCAGTGGGGATTATATTTCCCCATGCTGACATACACAAATAAGCAGGCACACAAAGTAAGAAGTTCTAACCATTTCAGGAACAGACAAACAATTTAATCCATATTACATAATTCACTGAATACAGTTGATCTCATCCAAAGTCACTCCTGAGAGCAAAATAGTTTTAGCATTACATTTTATATACAGCTATGAAGGATTACTGGAAACCAAAAGAGTCTCCTTATATCAGGAGCACTCATGTTATGTATATTGTTACGATGCCTGTTTGCACTTTTAGTCTGCACATATTACTTCAAGCATAACAATTTCCACCTGCTTTGTATTTATAAAAATTCATATTAATTGGCTGATTTTATAATCATTTTTATCTCAATATAGGTGCCCTTTTCCATTCTAAAGTACTGATGCCTGACATCCAACATAAATGGGCGGCACTGAGAAATGACTTTCTCTGCTCTATAGCCCTGAAAATGCTGGGCATTACAAATCTTTGCATACACTAGTTTATGATTGCTTTGTCTGAAGCAAACTACATCCTGCACACTATAGCTTTTTTGTTACTTTACATGTTATCAGCTTTCCTTTAAGGAACAGGCTTATACAGTCAAATGTATCACCATTTTGACAGAGCACAAGTTGGAGAATTGTATTGGTTTCTGAACCAATGGAATCAAAATAATCAAGACTTTAGAATATTTTTCCAGTCATTAAGCTGAGAGGAGACTTGAATGCAGATACTGGAACATACAAATGGAAACATCTGTACTTGCATGCTTTTAAGTGAAAGGATAAGCATTATTTGTATTTTCTTTGTTGTCTTCCTCGTACATATGCAAGATGTTTTTATAAAAGTTTACCACAGATAGCAATGACAGAACATGATGTAATTATATTTTTCATTAAAAAGCACTAGAAATCAAAGGCAACCAAGATAATGAATGTTTCCCTAGAACATTTTTCTCAGCTACACAATGTGTGTATACACCAAGGTCTAACACACTTAGCTGCACCACATCAAGTCAAGCTGTCCAAGTACATACACAATTTTGCCTACAGGAGTATATCCCTTCCAGAATTTGTCATTTTACAAGTAATTCCCTGTGTTGGATTATGCTTAGTCAGAAGTATGGATATATTTTTTTCCAATACTACCATCTACTTGGTTTTATGACCTGTATATCAGAAATGAGGCAAGATGTAAGATTAAGTGCAGGGAAGCATTTCAGACCCAATAAATGCATTCTCTAAAACTTAGATATATATGGTTAATAACAGGTAAATTTGCCAAGAGTTGCATGAAAGTTTTTTTGTTTATTGGTTTTTGGGGTTTTTTGGGGGGAAGTTAAATAATTGAGGCTTGCTCAGCAAACATCAACTCCTCTGCATCATGGAAATTCATTATGGGTGTTTGAATAGAAAAAAAATGTATTTAAGAATATCAATTAAAATGGAGTTACAAAGAGAACTGATAGATTAGTAAACTTGAATGGTGTACCCTTTATGAAACCAAAGGAGAATCTGCCCCTGGAAGATACCCAACAGACCCAAAGATGCAACAGAAGGTTGACTGTTATACACCCACACAATCCAAGTAAATATTTAAAAACCAAATACTGAAAACATTTGTCTCCCAATATTTATACCTGCTGGATACCCACATTATCTCCATGTCTCAAAATAAGTTAGATAATTATCTGTTCTATAGCTGAAAGCAGCCAAAAAAACTGTTCAGAACTTCATAAATAGATAGAATGGGAACCCTTAATGTTTTTTTTCAAGCTTCAAATACAACAGTCTAAGCCAAAGATTGAAAGTAAATTGAAAAATATTCATTTGTTACAAGAAGCAAATTACCATGAACAATGAATTTGTTAGGAATCCCTCTAAAAGTATGACACACACAAACAGGCTACCCAGCAGAAAATCTGTTAATTTTATTTCTGTTTTAATGTTAAATATCATGGGACAGGATTGTAAGGATGAAAAACTGCCAATAACTGCCTCACAAGGGATAAGAAAGAAATTCTGCCATGATATTAGCAAAGTAAGGTAAAGGAGAAAATTTACACAGTAAGAGGCACCATTTCTCCCCAGAAAACCTCTTGTCATATTCCTGAACAAGTGGGATTAGCAATCTAATAAATCATCTTTCAAGAGGTAACAGCAACAGATAAAATTTTAAAGGATTATTAAAATAACATTTACAAGACTCTGAACAATTTTTGAACTCTTATTAAAACCACAGAAAGAAAGAACAATTCTTTATTTATGAATTTTCATAAAGGACTGAATGTGCAACTGACACCTGCTATTGATGATTTAATGTACAATTTTGTCCAGTAGCCGAACAGTTTGTCTTTTTTTAATTGTGTTTTCTAACCGTGCGAGATCATTAAAGGCAAAGCCTGTATGACGCTGTACACAAAAATGGTCACTTGGGCCATACTACCAATGAAGTGGTAGGTAAACAAATCTTTTTCTGGCCAAGAAAAAAAAAGGAAGCTGCATTCTGCATGCTTCTCTCTCTCTCTCTCTTCTTTTTACAAGATGAATTTCCCTAGAAAGAATCCAATGAAAATGGCTGCAATTACAACAAGAAGTGAAGGAAGAGGATTGGAGCCATTCTCTCTGAGGGCCAAGGCTGTGGGTGATCCAGATTTATCGGAGTGTGTTACCTTTCTGAGCCTCAAGCCTTCCTCCTGAAAAGAACACATGGAAGAAATTCATGAATATGGAATCATAGTCTTCTTAATGGTGAAAATTTAACCAGGAGACTGAATCTCTTTGGTAAGTATTTCAACCAGGTCATACAAAATCATTTTAGAAGTAGCTGTACTATTACTTTTTAAATTGAAAAAAAATCAAGATACTACAAGATTCAAAATAAGAGTACATTTATCAAGTTACAATTTCTCTTTTCCAATACCTAATCCACATGTATTCCACCCTGTTTGTGTATATAACTGTTAGTAAAAGTAATAAAACTCTTATCTTGCACACTGAAAAATCCATCTTTAATTTACACAAAAATTTTAAGTAAATGAAACAACTCCCCAATAGCTAATATTTATATTTTGTGATTTCCCCATGTGCTTTGATATCACAACTACTGTTTAGGAGTTAGCTTTATTTCAGATTTCTTTATACATTAAAATGTTATTATTGACAATATAGGAACTGTCATATACCCAACAGTTACAATGACAACATATAATTGTGTACTGATAAGTTATAATTATGGAAGTACTACTACTACAACAACAACAACACCACAAAGCTTGCAGAAAGCAACACCACATTGAATACAACTAGTAAGTGAACAATCAAGTGATTTTGTAAGCTAAAATTCTGTGATCTGCAATGCTGTTGCATTGGTTCTCAACTATATGCGCCGGAGTACCTAATAAACAGACCCAAAATATTGTGAAAACAGATAAGTTTTTATGAAACGCTGTAATGCAGTGGAAACTATAAAGACACCCAGGATGTTTGAGTACCACCTTGGAAAACGGCACTTCTTATTTCACTACATCTTAAAAATATATGTAATTGGTTTAGTTTCAAAATCTCATCAGTGGAAAGAAAAAGATACTGACCATAAACAACTGATGAGTGTTTACATTTAACATTAACTTGTGCTCCACACATTCATGGAATAATAATTCCTAGGTGATTTATAAACAGGTTTAAAAATAAGCTCACTTACTTCTGAAATTGACACAGAAGTGGAGTTTTTAAGATGAGGAGAGAAGTGATAGCTTAGCTAACAGTGCTGCTAAAGAAATAGCTACATTTGATCAATCCCTATTTCTTAGGAGAACAAGAAAATTATATAGCACATGATCCTTGTTATACAGATAATTGTACCTACTTTGTTCATTCTAAGAAGTATTGCCCAAAGTATTTCCCCTTTTGAAGTTTTATGCAAATAAAACTTCAAAAGTTAAGTTTTATCTGCATGCATCTATACAAATCCATGTCTTTTAATCACCTGTTTAGGAGTAACTCATTTTAATAGGAAACTCATTACAACAGAACTTACTCTCAGGTGCCGATTTTCATCTGACAGTTTCATCACATCAGCCTGAAGTCTTTTGCACTCTTCCACTAGTTTCCTTGTTTCAGTATCATTAAGAGAGACACTATGTGGTTTTGGCATCGGTCCATCCTGTTTAGATGTATTCAGGACTGGGGCAGATTTGCTTGCTTCTACATCATTCTGCAAATATTAAGAATAACCTGAGAATTTTAATTTTCTAGATCCAAAGAAATATTTACAGCTTAATATAAACATTGAAAAAATTAAACTACTGCTACAATGTATTTCAAATGAAGTTCATATCTGAGGTAATCCAAAACACAGCATTAAAAGGCACAAGAACATAGCATTGTTTGCATTTAGCACAATGCCACTGAGAAAAAAGCCAATCCTTATACTTCTTGAGTTAACACTGACCCAACAGGCATCCAAATGATAACGTAAAACGTGAACTTCCATTTTTATATAAAAGGAAAAGAAAAAAATTAATAGGAAGCAATAAAAAACGGCTAAAATTAGAAAGATGAAATCCAGGATACACAAGTTCTGTTAACGATTGAGGTATGATAAGGAAATAAAAATATTTTTAACTTTGAGTGCTTCCTATGCAAGGAGCTCAAAGCACTTTACAAATATTGATTAAACCTCACAGCATCTCTGAGAGGAAGGATTCCACTAATTTTGAATATGGGTGAACAGAAGCAAAGAGGTTAAGTGATTGCACAAGGTCACGCAACAAGATTGTGACAAAGCTGGAAATATAATCCAGGAGTCTAGATTCCCACATCCCTGCTCTAGACGTTAAACAATCTCCAGTGGACATTAAAAATACCATTCCATACAGTGGTGACCTGGATTAACTATACAGTTAAATGGAATTATAAAACAAATGGAGATAATAGTAATTAATATCATAGTAAATTATATTAGCACTACTGTATTTTTTTCTGATTAACTATGCAGTTACTTTTACTTAGGTCACCACTCTATTGCACCTCTTCAAATAGCAAGTAAGCAGTCTGAAAGTTAAATACCAAATCAAAGATTATAAATAACTAAACTTAATATGGCAATTATGTAAAAACAGAAGATATCTTGATTTCAATATGCAGAAAAAACAAAGTTCTTTATAATTAACTGAACTTCATTAGTAACAATTCAAGCTGCTACTGGTTATCTCATTACACCTGCTTACATTTTACAACATATTCTACTGTATGGTCATAAAGAGCCTAAGGGCCAAATCCTGCTGTCTTCCATAGGTAGCATCCATTAGATTCAACAAAATTACTTGTGTGGGAGAGCATGATATGGCACTTAGTTTATTGCTGGTTTGCAAGCTAACTAGGAATTGCTTTAAAACACACAAACTCCACTAGAGCCCTATAGCTTTTAGCTCCCTGGAACAAACCTGCTTCTTCTGCTGTCTGACCTCACTGACTGGTTCCTTCGTGTCAATCTTCTGGCTATAACTGACAGGTGTCTGAAGAAAGTTGCTGCTCACTGGAGTGAAATACTTGTATCCTGGTGTAGGTAAATCCTGAGGTGGCAGGTGAGCCATACCCTCAGTACTCGGCAGTTTTCTCATTGCAAGATTTAAGGGAGTGACTAAACCAACGGCTAAAGGATTAGGTTCTGCAACCCCACGCTGCTACTCAGAAAAACATAAACATTATGTACAAGCAGTAATATAAAGGTACCAAGTACAAAAAGTTTTATACAATTAATTGCAACCTTCATTTGACCCCTTTGTGTGTATCCATTATAATGCAGACTTTAATTACATCACCACATACTATTTTTTTCGAATGAACTTCTGCCTCATTCCGTGGACAAGATGGATGGTTCTTAGGGCTCTGAAGTGAATTAGGTTGTTGTATGCAAGACCCCTGCCTAGGCTTATGAATGCAGAGACATCAGAATTGACAATATTGAGGTAGCATGCTTTCAATACACAGGCCTGGGAGTTCTACTCTTCAAAGTCCTGCTCCCTTGTAATTTCTGAGTAACTGACAGCAAATTGTTATTTTGAATGTCAGACAGTGCAGAGAGGACAGGGCCTCTTCAATTTACACAGCTTGAAATTATCATCATCTGCCACACAATTTGAATGGATTTTGGTGCAGACAGGTAAAAAGTTGCATCTTTCTAATCTGTATTTCCCTTCCTTACTGCTGACCTGAAAGATGGACATAGAGCCCAAGAGTATCTGTACTAAGCCCAAGTGCAGCACCTCCTTTTTGAGGAAAGCCGAACTCAAAATTACAGGTTTGAAATGACTGATTAAAGTTCATTTTTAAATGTACATCAATACTTTCATTAATATTCAAATAAAGGTTTAGTGTATGAAAGAAGTCTTGCACATAATACTGAAAAGTCTCATTTGTTTACCCAATCTGTTGAAACCCAGCCAAGAATATTAAAGTATCAAAATGAGGGCTGAAAATTAATGCAATATTTATCTATTGATATTCTTAAAACTCACAAATTCTAAATGTTGTACCATCTGTAAGGGCCACACCACAATTTGTAATAACTATCCACAGAAAGTTATTCCTCCGAGGCAAAGGCGTATTTAGCACAGTTCACCAACTGTACACCAGTATGTTCACTTAATATGGTATAACAATTTCCTGTTTCATGTTTGCAGTGTTGTTGTAGCCATGTTGGTCCCAGGAATATTAGAGACACAAGGTAGGTGTTCTTTTATTGGACCAGCTTCTGTTAGTGAAATAACACTGGGGAGAGGGATAGCCCAGTGGTTTGAGCATTGGCCTGCTAAACCCAGGGTTGTGAGTTCAATCCTTGAGGGGACCACTTAGGGATCTGGGGCAAAATCAGTACTTGGTCCTGCTAGTGAAGGCAGGGGGCTGGACTTGATGACCTTTCAAGGTCCCTTCCAGTTCTAGGAGATAGGATATCTCCATTAATTAATTAATTAAAGCTTTTGAGCTACACCGACCTCTACTTCAGGTCAACTTCAGTTTGTCAATAGAAGATATTACCTCACCCACCTTGTCTCTCTAATTGTAGACTAAGTACGAATATACTTGTTCATAAGCCGAATTTTTTTTTTTTTTTTTTTGTAAAAAAGGGAAGCACCAGAGAAGGGGGTCGGCTTATGAACGGGTATAGAGAGAGG